GACCAGGATGGACAGGATTAGGAATGAGCACATCAGAGGGACAGCTCAGGTCGGCTGTTTTGGGGACAAGGTCAGAGAGGCCAGATTGAGATGGTTTGGACATGTGCAGAGGAGGGATAGTGGTTATATTGGTAGAAGGATTTTGGAGATGGAGCTGCCAGGCAAGAGGTCAAGAGGAAGGCCAAAAAGGAGATTTATGGATGTGCTAAAAGAGGACATGAAGTTAATTAGGGTAAGAGTAGAGGATGCCGAGGACAGAGTTAGGTGGAAACAGATGATTCGCTGTGGCGACCCCTAACGGGAACAGCCGAAAGATGAAGAAGGCTATAGTTTAAAATCCCATAAAAACACAAGAGAGAACAGCCAACAGAAGCTGTCCACACTGATTTTAAACAACATTTTGGGCAGTTGTAGAGCTCATATCCTGCTACTAAACTCCCGGTGAGTTTAGTGAGTTGAGTTGAGTGAGTGAGTTTGGAGTTCCGACTGACATTGTTTCCTACGGAACGATATCGAATGCACCATAACAGGAAATACAACAAAAACGCAGCGCGTAGTATCAACAGTGTATCTTAGTGTCCAGGGTATTTTAATAATGAATGTTTTCGCTACTGCAAACTACTGTGTAAGTTTTTTTCATCGTTATACCACACGGCATTCTGTTCAAGTCAAATTAATGTTGACACCGCTAAAACGTACTTAAATTGTAGTTGGTGAGGCTTGACAAACCTATTGGTTTGTACATTCATTTGTAGTGAACTACTCTCCCTGCGTGGGTTCTTTCCGGGTGCTCTGGCTTCCTCCCACAGTCCAAAGACCTGCCGATTAGGATGACTGCCTTGTAATTGACTGGCGACCTGTCCAGGGTGTACCCCGCCTCTCGCCCAGTTTCAGCTGACATTGGCTCCAGCCCCCCACCCCGCTACCCTATTCAGGAATAAGCGGCATAGATAATGGATGAACTTAACGTTAGCTACGTTGTAATGTCGGTTGTGACTGTCATATAACAACCTAACTTTCCTTTACCACAAACAACTAATATGGGCAGATAGAGAATTATTACATTTAGTGCATCAGCAGCACGCAGACAAACAGCTACCGTTAACACAACTCTGACATATAAGCACTTCAGTCTTTGTGCAGTTGATTCAGTACAGCACAAAAGCAGTGCCTGTTGTAGCAAATCAGTCCTCTGTGACAATGCCACTGTCAACCCATTAACTTTGTGTTTCTGTTTAGGTGTTCAGGGGTGACATAGTCTGAGTAAAAGATACGCCAGTCTGACCTCAGAGAGACACCATGCTCTCAGCCAAGATGACCTGTCTCTTAACTATGAACGCCCTGAGGAGGATTTACCCTGGACCTTACCTCTACTCCCTGTCGAACTGCTTTCTTCACAAGGAAGGTGGAAGGACCATACACAATATCCACTCAGAGACCAGGATATTGAGAAGAATGTTGTACAGACAGAGTGCAATCCACCCATCAATCAGACAATGTAAAACACAGCACTATGGGAGAAGATCATTGAGTTTGTCAGCTGCTACAGTTGTGAATTCAGCACCAGCTCCTGTCAAGCCATACCTGCAGTTGATGAGGCTTGACAAACCTATTGGTTTGTACATTGATTTGTAGTAAAAAACTAAATGTTCCTGATTAAATAATTAGGGCTGCTCCCTAACGGTCAAATAGTCGAGTTATTAGTTGCAAGACCCGTCAGGCAACTGAGCCTCTTCTTGTTGAGCTCTTGTTTTTATTTTATTATATTTTATTCTTTGTCAGCCATTGTACATTACAATAGAAGCCCCAACCCCATTAGTTTGTCATCTTATCCTCATTTTGGTGTTCCAAGAAGCAATTTGCTCAGTACTTCCCCCTCTGGTGGGGGGAATGCCCACTTCAGCACTGTCACTGTCCAATGCATGGATGTACAGTAAGGTAGGCTCTATTTAGCTAATTGCTGAACAAGGTGAAAAGGACAACAAAACCCACTAAGACATGACACATAAAGGTGTTCACCAGAGCGTGTCTTTTTCTCACTTTCTTTACAACAGGTGCAACCACACAGCAACAGAACTTATGCTGAACACATTAACAATCCGACCAACCCATAACTATATACAGCCCATGCAGAGGGGCACCATGGGGTATCTCATGAGGTGCTTCTCCCTATGGGTATTCTGTGGGACCCCGCCAAGTGTCTCTTTGCCCCAATGCTATACTATTTTATTATAATTGTGGTCTACTTTTACAAGAGCAAAGACTGTCACAACGGTGTGGTTGCTTTTGCATAGCCTGTTGTTATGTGAGTCCGGTTTGTTTACCCATGTCTGTTCTGTTTAAGTGCAATGCGCAGCCGTTTGCCAACCGTATCAATACAATAAAAAACTGAATTGAATTAAAAAATATCATTTAAATACTGATTTCTAGTCTAAGTTGTAACTCAAAAAGAGTAGCACTAATAGTATTATCCAAAGCTTAAACACAAAGAATGTGCTATGTAACAGCAGTAGCTTGAGTTATATTGTGTGTGTGTTAACATGTTGTGTGTTATAGGGACATGGCTACTGTATCTTCCCTGTACATGGAGTATCGCTCTGGCTGCTGACCCAGGATGCCTCCCAGATCTGGGCATGCTCGCTCTGTTTGGTATGGGTGCTCTGCTGATGAGAGGAGCGGGCTGCACCATCAATGACATGTGGGATAAGGACTTCGACAAAAAGGTAGAAGAAACTAATACATAGCCAGTCACACGTTAACTTGAATAACTAACTTTTGTAACTCCAGTTGTTTGGTGAAAATTGCAATTGACTTGCAGATCTCAGTCAGTTCCCTCATAACCTCTATAGGTCAGCCCCATGCAGTATGGAAACCACTCTATCTTTTGGGTGTGTGTAGCTGCAATACCTCCCCTGCCAAGTGGAGCTGAGCACTGCAACACCAGAAACCTGATCACCACATAGAGGACAGGGTCTCTTACCTTTCTCCCGGTGTGGAGCCCCGGACCCGGATGAGGTGTGTGAAGGAAGCAGCAGAAGAATCCAAAAAAGTTTAACAAGTTTAATAAAGAATTTAAAGGGTTACAAAATTGAGTTTCTGAGATACAAGAATAATGGGAACCAAACTAATACAATTAAGAACTAGTTCAAAAGCAGGTGTTCTGCCTGAAATGGTCTTCCTCAGTCAGAGTTTTAGAGTTCCAAAGAATGAACCAACTCGAGAAAGCCGAGTGCCCCTTCCTGCTGCAGCACTCCTCCTTTTAAGATCTCCATCTCTGGGTGACGCTGACCTCCGTGGTGATCACCTCCTTCCTCATCAGATGGAACAGGCAGCTGCAGCTCCTTTACCTTTCCAATTGTTATGTTCACAAAAGATAATACCTCAAAACACTTCCTTGTGTGGTGAAAAGAAACTCCTTTCTTTTACTGGATGCTTAATGACATCTTACTTTTTATTTCTAGGTTATTGATGTGGTATTTTGGTGCTTCATGGCAGATGTAATTAGAATTACTGATCAAGGGGGAGACGTCTCCTCTTAGAGGAAGAGAAACTAGACAGAAAGGAGGATCTTCACGCCAGATGAAAACTTGTGCAGTGGTCTGCACGATGTGCCCTTCCTGTTGAACCAGGGCCCCTTAATGGAGCAACAGTTAGCTGTTAAGTCAACTGATGTTATCTCCTGTGGCCCCTCTATACATCACCGCCTGGTCACAAGTTTCACCCTTAAGCAATCTGGTCACAGCACCACCACCCTGGTATTACATAAATGCCAATAACATACAGTGAATACACATGATAAGGTATAATAAATCAAGACTAGCATTCTGGTGAGCATATGACATTAGGGTATAAAATCAACAGTACTCTGCAGATTGTCTCTTGATCACATGAAGTCAACACAATTAATACAAATGGTTATGTAAGAAACTTAAAGATTATCATAATAAACAGTCAAACTCCTGAACTCCAGTGATTAGAAACAACACATCAATTACATTTCATAATCGGGTAACAAACTTCAAATGATTATAGATAGGAATCAAAATAATTACACGGTTACAATATATAAGGTAACTTGTAGTATTGATTATATGGCACAGTAAACTATCACTAACTCTGGGTCTATGCATTGAAGCTATTTCTGATTCAACTACAACTATGAGTAAAATGAACACTGCACTTTATGCATAAAATGTTATTTTATTGTACCCCTTCTCATGAGATGATGTAGTTTCTGTTTAAATGATGCTGTTCACCTCCTGAAACAATAGACAGTAGTTAGCAGTACTTATTGGTCTAAAGGCATTTATCAATTTTACGGCCTCAGGCCCCAAGACGACATAAGGCAGGAAGACTACATCCAGCTGCTGGTGTTTTGCAGATCATGAGGGTCAGCGGATCTCACACATTCTCAGCATCCATAACAAGCTAGATACTTCTTTAGCAGTTTCATTTTTCTGTTGCTTTTAATAATGTGTTCTTTTCTGATCGCACATGTTCATCAAACTATAAATACAGTGTTTAGAAATACACCCTGAGTTGCTGGTGATAGTGTGTACAGTAGCTCTGCTTTGTTCTTATCTGCATAACCCACATAGTCACAGTAAATAACACTGTCCTTGCTACTATATTAAAGTGAGGAGTACGCACCTAATATACTTCTGCACTGATAGACAAAAAATGATGGTTTTGTGCAGGTGTCCAGGACGGCCATTCGGCCCATTGCCTCAGGGGAGATTTCTCGAATGCAGGCACTTGTCTTCTTGGGAGGGCAGCTCTCTCTTGCACTTGGGGTTCTCCTGTGTCTCAACTATTACAGGTACCCAGTGACATTAATGTTTGCATTAGGTTGTATAGTGAACAGTTTAAAGAAAAACAACAACAGGGAAGATGACTCAAAGAACCAAGCATGCAGATCAGACAGAAACACTCTCTTTGGACTGCATTTCCTCTGCTGACCCTTGGGGTAATGCTGTCCGGGTTTCAGGTTTACTACCCCCTGTTAACTGCAACAATGATACTTAGGTAAAGGATAGGTTTACAGTTTTACACATCTGTATTAAAACAGTAGTCAGGTGTCCATATGAACACCACCAAGATTTTGCATGCTGTAATTATTTCTCCTGTTTATATAAGAAATGCAGACAGGTGAGAAATTAAAAGAAATGCTTGAATGAGTGAGAGGCTCTCTTACTAAGACACTTTATGTTGGTTTTTCCTTTGTCACCTCTCTGTATGTGTTAGAATGCACACAATAGTGATTACTTTTTTATGTTTCATGCTCCTCACAGCATTGCTTTGGGTGCGGCTTCACTGTCTCTTGTCATCAGCTACCCGCTGATGAAGAGGATCACTTACTGGCCACAGTTTGTATTGGGTATGTATAATATAAAAATATTCCCCCTGTGTTTTGAATCTAAGGTCGATATTTCTCACGATTAACAAAGATAGTCTCATGTTTTATGCTTCTGTCTAGGCCTCACATTTAACTGGGGAGCGCTGCTCGGCTGGTCCGCTGTAAAGGGCTGCTGTGATTGGTCTGTGTGCCTCCCGCTGTATTTCTCAGGAGTGATGTGGACATTGATATACGACACAATATATGCACATCAGGTGAAGTAGGGGGCTACATAGTTCTTAACATACTGTGTTAAGGAAAATTGTCACGATGTTCAACCCTTAATAAAATGCTGTTTTCTGTTTAAAATCTTGGATAACAACTTAGTCAGAATTCTACAAGTTTTCTTTTTATAGTCCTCCATGATTTTATTTATTGTCGACATGCAGCTACAGTCCACAATCCTCACTCTAAAAACACACATAGGTTCAGACAAATGCAAGTGTACTCTGAAATTTAAAGTGATTTTATGCTATTTTTTAATGATAATTTAGAAAAAGCAGAGAAAATGTACAAATTTGCAGTGACATTTAGGTAAACCCCAAAAATATATTAGTAAATAATCATAAATTCATTGAATTTTATCACACAGTGATGCGGTGCCATTGTTCAGTATTGTATTTTATTCCTTTTTTACATACTTAATTGTGTTGTAGATTTGTTATACAAATCAAAAGCTTTGATTGTGAAACAGGCCTATATTTTCAAATTAATAACTATGATCAGATGATAAACACAACATTGTGTATCTTTTTATTTGCAACTTCTCAGTAATACTCAGTAGAGTGTTATACATTTTTAATTTAATGAAAATATGGTGATATAATATCTTACCTATAGTGCACAGTATGACTGTAGCATCCTGCTGGCTTTAACTGATCTATGGATTGCTTTCTGCACTGAGCATTGTCAAGTTTCTTTGATTTCTGTGGAACACTGGAGCTAAATTTATGAAGAAGGCGATAGCTACGGTGACAGTGCAACATGCCAATGTATTAAAAGCAGTGAGAACATATTACATGTAGGATTCAAGATGCAAACTGTTGCTTTAACTTCATACAGTTGCAGTCTATGGATTTCGGTTGCAGTCACTGTCAGTCACCATGGAGCACAGTATAAGCTTAATGTCTCATATTTTAAAGTTGGATAATATTGATTAAGACTGAGCTTCTCCTTCTGTTCTTTCTTTGATAATTAGGACAAGGAGGATGACGTCAAGGTAGGCATCAGATCTACTGCACTGAGGTTCCAGGAGCAAACCAAACCATGGCTGAGTGGCTTCACAGCGGCCATGATGTCAGGACTAGTCGTAGCTGGTGTCACTGCTGAACAGACTCTCCCTTACTATGCTGTACTGTCCATAGCAGCCGTTCATCTAACACGTCAGGTAAGGAACATGGTGTAGTTTAGGTATAGTACATAGTTTCATTCCAAATTTGAGACAATCAAGTGGAGATGTAAATGAGGACAATGTTGTTGTTTTTTTTCCAAATCAATCACAAGTCTTATTAGTTCTCATTTTAACCAACTACCTCATTTCATCTCCATTAAAACACGGTACCTACTCTCCCCATTTTTAGATTTACACATTGGACATCAACAAACCAGAGGACTGCTGGAAGAAATTTGTCTCAAATAAGAACCTTGGACTGTTGTTATTTTTAGGCATTGTTGCTGGGAATTTATGGAAAGAAAGAAGAGAGACCTTGCTGCAAACTGAGGAATGATTCAGATAGGGGAGATAATCAGTGCACAGTGCATTTTATAACATTTTTGGTACAACATATATGATATTATTGCGCGATATCTTTAGGGATTTTGAGTATATACAAAGCTCTGTGAGCGCAAAAGCATGTACTGTAAGCAGTGTGATTTTAACCCTCACAATAAAGTAATTGGATGCATTTTTTGCTCATAAAACATTTGCAATTAAATTCAAAATTTCTTTTACATATATACAATGTGTAATTAACTTTAGTAATCAAACACTTCAACGTATCCATATGACTGTGGGCCACTGGTAGTTGTGCTTAATACGAAACAGAAAATGTGAATTTGATTAATAAGCAACATGCAATGTTATTGGTAAAAATGCTTTAAACCTGCATTAAATGATTCTGACCACGAGGGGGCGGTGTGACTCATTTGCTACCTGTTGAATGTACTTTACATGATGGTCTGGCCTTTTAGTGGTGTTTAGTCCACCAACTAGGTGGTGGTGTCAGTCACATTCAGCCATACAGTCTGCTGGAAGCTACAGAACCAAAATGATGTGATCAGAGTGGCTAAAAGCTGCATATACCTGCAGAATTCAGAGCTTGTTTTCAGAAATTAGTGCTATTAATTGCTCTCTCACATAACATGGTGTCGTTTATTTTAATGCAGGTTTAATTATCACATTTTATGGCCAATGAACACAGAAAACCAGATATTTTCAAAGGGTTTCTTTGCCACTGTCAGTATGGGAGTGTGTTAGTAAAGTATGTTGAATTTTAATAAAATCAGTAGCATTATATTACAAAGTGGAAACAGACCTATGTATGTTAAAGACAAAAGTCTCAAGCCAGACATATTTCTTAATTCTGTAGTTATAACAACACAGGTTATAATCATTTGAGTGTTTATCCAGCATAAACACGTGTACAGCAGCTTCCTCCATGTTGAAGAAGGCTTTCGGTGCAAATACCTGTGTATATAGTGGTCTGCTTTCACTGTTGCTGCCCAGGTCAGAAACCCTACAAAGTGACCTACGTGTAAACCATGCCACCACAGTGAAAAACCAAATGTCATGAACAGTGGGAAACATTTGCACCTCATATAAACCAGTCTACGCAGCCAACAAGCTGTTGTGGCGTTCCATCGACGGGCAAATTCTGACACACGGGTTGATGTCTCAGTGGTCCAGAAATCCCCATCGGATAATCCACTCCAGTCCCGGTTGTCTCCTGATGATTCCTCCCAAAAGCCAAAGCCAGCTGCGTTATTGAGGCATTCGCTGATTCTCCAGTGAGAGTAATATTGGATCCTCAAAACCAGTGCGAGACTCCACATCCACAGGACACCACAGAGAACAGCAGAGCAAGAGGGGTCATAGATGTTTTGTTTTATAACATAGATAAGACAGCACCTTACCATCTCCAGCAATAACACCTGTATCAACTTTAGGAACACCACCCCCAATGGACTGGGTGGAGGGCTGAGGTGGAATCCCTCCATTAGGGACACAAATCGGCTGTAGGAACACAAAGGGCCACCAAGCAGTGTGGTGAAATTGAGGATGTAGCTGATAAGAGGGAAAAGCATCACACAAGTCTTCCTTCTGGATGAAGCTTTAAATGTTAATGTAGCTTGTTTCTCCTGGAGGTCCATAGACACTGAGGTGATTCTCTGAGTGAGCAGCATCAGAGAGGACACTGCCACAAATAGTCTGAAAGTAAAAGAGGTGGTAATTTGGAGATACACAGGGGGGAGAGGAATAAATGTTTAAGTAGCTCTGTGTATTTTACATTTTGTTGGAAAAATGTTTATCAAGGGACAGTAACATCAAGTGACCCGTCATTTGATTTTTATTTCCAGAAGGCAGGTGCTTACATTCAATTGCCATAAAAACATTAGCTTTATGTTATGTTGTTATATGTTATATTAGTGCAGTTAGTAAAAGGTTTAGGGCTGAAATGAGGGGAATCATGCAGAACATTTCATACGGACTGTCCTTTATTGGTTGTTTGAGAGACTTTTAGCAATATTGCAGTGCTGTAGTTAATTTCAGTGAAAAGCTTTTGTGTGATATTAGCTTGCTTGAATTTACAAAGAAATCACTTTGAAGCACAATTACTGTTTTGTCTGAAGGTTCTATTTACTGTCCACTTCATATTGTAGGGACACTTAGTGTATTTCATGTTAAAATAAATCCCCTGGTCTCTGTGCAAGGTTCTGGGCTTACAAGAAACATTTAAAAACCCAGCGTTAAATGTCAAATTCAAACTATCGATGAATTGTCCTGTTCAGGTGAATCCCCACATATTTTCTAAATAAATATTTTTATTCTATCTAAATATTTTCTCTAAATAAACCCATCTACTCTGTGCTAATCTTTGAGGAAACTGCGTTGGAGAGTCCAAAATGGTAAATGCTAATGTAGCTTGTTATCTGTGTTACACTTTTCAGTTTTATTTAGCCTCCTTTGTCTGAGTTTGAACTGCTCCACAAGAGGAAAACTTTAGCAACAGTGATGGCCCACAGGTCAGTGGTTTGAGTGGGTAATATATACTACTACAGTGACAAATGTATTCAACTGTAATGCATGTGCAGCATCGAGACCATTCTTAGCTACCTCTCCATTTAGATTGACACCAAGTAATGATCCTCTAGGCCTGAAATGTGTTTTCTCTCTCTCTCTCTCTTTCTTTAAATCGCCAAAACTGCACACCAATGAAACATGTAAGACTGTACATTATTTGTTCCCAGCTGAAAAGCCATTTGTTCCCCCGGAGCAGAATACTATTCTGCAAATTACACGTATCAGGAAAGGGACTTATAGGAATTCTGACTTCCTGTAACACCACTATAAATGTCACTAAAACCTCACAGGGCTATAACTTAACTCCTCCTGGTTTGTAAATCAGACGACCTCCAGTTCTGACCTCTGGTGGCTGTGTGGGGACCTTAAACTGCAACCCAAACTCCCACCTGACTGGCAGGGAGGCTGCGCTCTGGTACAGTTGCTTATGCCATTCCAAATAGTACCGACACAGGCGTTAGCACCTGGGACCCATTGGGTCCACGACCACCACTTCCTCGCTCCACTGAGCAAAAAGGCAACTGTCTTTATGAAAATGACCGGATGTACAATGATGCCATAGGGGTCCCCAGGGGAGTGCCTGATGAGATTAAAGCCTGAAACCAAATAGCTGCAGGACAAAAATCCTTCTTGATGTGGTGGGTTACAATTAATAAAAACGTAGACTGGATCAATTACCTATATTATAACCAACAAAGATTTCTAAATTATTCTAGAGATGGATTTAAGGGGACAGCTGGACAACCAGGGCCTGCTTCACTCATGGAGAAACAGAATTGCTCTCGATATGTTAAATGCTAAGGAGGGAGGGGTCTGCAAAATGTTTGGATCCACATGCTGCACATTCATACCAAGTAACACTGCTGGAAAAGCAGGAATTGAAGAGAGATGTAGAGGAACATGGTGTCAGTCTCCTTTTTGTTTTTATTCTTCTCTTTTTACGTGAGCTCTTATTTTATCATTTTGATTAACTTTGCATTAAGTAGAGAAAAAACTGATTAATTATTGAGATTAATTGCTTTTTAGTTTGATTTGGTTACTGAGATTGATTATTGAAAAGTGTTTTACATTGTGTATTATTTGTACAAGGACATATAGACAGGGGAGAATTGTTGGAATACATGTTTATCAAGGGACGGTAACATCAAGTGACCCACAGTACAATTATTATACGTTCTATACTTGCAAAGAGTAAACGGTAGATCTGGAATAGATACAGTTTGTATTTTACTGATTGTATTTTGCTGTTGTGTGCTTAGACCAACTCACTTCTCATAAGCAGTCAGACTGCAGAGATACATACATACACTACCTGTTCCAGGAGCCAACGATGACGCAGAACTTGCCACGACTGTTATGTCTGACTGTATAAATGACCCTCAAACAGACCGCCTCTCTGAGCATGTCCTTCATGCGACCATATTGTATGTATTGAATGCTCCCTTGCTGCAAGAATAATTCAACCTTTATGTTATTCACATAAGTGGCCTCGATCTGCTTTGTCTGTTGTCAGTTTAACCCTAACACATTTTTACCCAGAGCTTAATACTATCAAATAAATTGGTTTTAGAGTTCCTGAAACCAACCATGGTGGAAATGCCACTGATGGCAAACTGATGTGTTTTCTGGAGCTTTCAAATTGCTCACACAGTTATTTCTTGGTAACAGCACCTGACGCTGACTAAAGATATTCACATGGATGAGAGACCTCAGAATCAGGGAAAGCTTGAACATTTACAGTTGTATCAGTTGAGAGGAAACTTGGTTGAGAGCTTGGGAACAGCTGCTCTGGACCTTGAGGTGAGATTGTTAGCAATTTTCAGCAAATGATTATTTAAAAAAAAAAAAAAAGAGCAAAACCAAAAGTAATTTAGTTTGCCTCTCGGTACTTTCTTCCTAAGCTTGGCGGTGGCTTTCAGCCCTGAAGACTTTTTAAAAATGCCACCCTCTATTCTTTAAATACATTTACAATACATACAATTATTACTGCGACAACTAAGTCAACTATTAACTGTTACTGATATTGGATGTTCTGGGAAATCATGACGGTGTCGGCTTACATACAGATGAACTGATTTTGGATCCCTACCTGATGCTGACAGGCTCATGCAGCCAGTTTTCCCTGTATTGTATAAGCAGGTGCCAGAGGGTTTGCCAGAGCATCTGGATACCAAACAGCCAGGCGTGGATACGACTCGGATCCACAGAGCACACAAGCAGAACAAAGACGCCGGTGGAGGCGAACAGAAGCGTGCTGTAGACGCCCATTGCGACAACTGCCAGGGCACATCCTCCAACACAAACAAACAGGTACCTGGAGACAGACATTTACTGTATGTTGACACCTAGAGCTGTAATGATTAGTCCACTGACAGAAAATTAATCAGCAACTATTTTAATTACTGGTTAAATATTTTAGCCATTTTCTAAACAAAAATGGTAAAAAAAAAAAAAATCTCTAGTTTAATGGAGTGACAAATCAAACAAATCCAACTAAAGTTTAAATTTAAATCACACAGAAAGATGTGACCCATTTCCCAGAATAACAGAGCCCTGTAATATACTAACAAATTACTTAACACATTGCTTTTAAATGTGGTTTAGTACATCATAAAATCAATCGATTTGTAATTACATACCTGTAGGTCAAGGACAGATATCCGCGTTTAGCAAGAAAATAAAACAAAAATGCAAATGGCAGGGAAAAACACTGGTGGATTAGAAACTGTTGTTCCCACAGGCAGTTGAACAAACCCATATCTGAATTTCAGGTTGAATTTCACACATGAAAGAGCAAAGACACTGACAGGAGATGTTTGATGCTGATTGTCTTATTAAAGAGGTGAGATGCTTGCTTTACCTGGACAACTATCTTTGCCATTCCACCTGTGGTTCGCATTGAAAGAACTCCTTTTGTTTATCATTATCACACAGGACTGATAATGGCTATTCTGTACCATTAATCAGCTTTTGGTTAAAACATATTTCAGCAACTGTGGCAACCACAACAAGTCTGTTTCTTGGTCTGACTTTATCTTCCCAAAGCAAAGCATTTGTATTTTATTTTGTATTTGTTTTCACTCTCTTTTTCCAGATGGTGATTTATTGTCTTAGTACATAAAGCACAATACAACTTTAAAAGTTCACAGACTGAAACACTGTCTTTACACTCTGTACTTTTCGCTTCTTAGGCTTTTAGCAAAATTCTGACTCAGGAGAGATTTACTGCATGTGATTCCAACCAGTGGTGGAAAGTACATTTACACTTACATTTAAGTGCTATAGTGAAGTACTATAGCATAGTTTCCATAACTATTAAATTTCCATTTTATGCTAGTTTATACATCTAGTTCACTACATTTCAGAGGGAAATATTGTCTTTTATACTGCAGTACATTTACTGTATCTGACAGCTTCAGTTATTTGTTATTTTACAAATTAAGATTGTCCAAGACATAAAATGACCTTCTAAAATACATTATTCGGTATTAAACCATCTGCAGCTGCCTATTTCTCAGACTCTACTGAGTGCTTCACAACATACCTCTGACTTCATCTGAACCAATCTTGGAAAAAAGTAAAGCATTTATTTTAGGGGCACCTTCATACTATCCTGCTGTATATTTCTGAGTATTTGAATTGTGTTTTAACCTGAATAATGTTTATAGTCCTGAGCAAACAGTTAAAAGGAGACTATAGTTCTAATTTTATCTGTGATTGAATTAGGTGTGAGAGAGTCCAGTAAGATATTTTGAGTTGACCTGATTAAAGGAAATGTCAATGGTAAACAGGTCTGACCTTTTAGGCAATATGCTGGTGCCAAAGAGCACAAAGAGCACGGAGCATTAATAATATCAAAACCAGCAGAATATTTTAGGATTTCCTTAATATTAAGTAGCAAATGACAACATTTTGCATAGAAAGGTCATATTTAATCATAATGTTAAGTACAGTACCAGTGTGTTTTTTTTAGCGATGACGTTTTGGGAAACATGGTAAAAAAAAGTCATTTAACATAAAAACGTGTACATTTTATGTAACGATGCACCAGCTCCCACACAAACATGTCTGCTGTTCTCCAAGTGTTGTTCTTCACTGTTACTTTGATATTAAAATCCCCAAAGAGGAAAAACCAAAAGCAGCTAAGGATGATCCAGAGTAAAACTTGTTTTTTTTCCTGTTCTGAATTCTTAATGCCTGACTCATACTTGAAGGCAGCTACAATGCAATAACTGTCAACCATAAATCACTTGGATTACTGGCCTGAATAAAAGCTCAAAGGGGAACAGATGACAAAATAACAACCATAAAAAAGTTTTCTTCTTCTTTCTGGATTAGAAATTGTACTGTTACACATAGAGCAGTAACAAAGGGTACTGTAGAAATGATCATTTGGAGCACTGAAACAAATATCTGAAGTCAGTCTCTGTCTTTTTTCAGGGCTTGTGTCCACATTTGAGCCCTTGAATGATTAATGGCCCACTCAAACACTGACACTGCGCCAGCAAGTCTTCTGTAATTTATGATGAAATTATAACAATTTAAAGACAGATTTTCGCCGGTGGATGCATCACTGTGGCCCAGCGCAGCTTTGACCACTTAGAGGACCTTTGTTGGAAGGATGTCTTGTTGCAAAGAGGTGCAAAACAGCCACAAATTGACCACAGAGAAAGAGACTGGAGATAAACATCTGTGCTGTTTGTTGTCATTTTGTGTCTGTAGGAGGAGTGGGAGGGGCTTTTACATATTATGTGTCCAAGGGTGATGATCATACCATGTTTTCATCACATGTTCCCGTTTTCTTTTTGTAAACAAGCACTGTAGTTAACTAGTCCACTGGGTAAACGCCCAGAAGTGACAGTCTCACGTTGCGCTGTGGCATTTTGTTGTGCACTCACACATTATCTGTGAGCACACCTTGACTTTGGGTAAAGTCTGAGAGCCCTGGTTGATCTTTGAATGTGACCTTTGGTCCTGAACTATCCGTGCACTGATACTTCGGTGTTCCTTCCTTGTCTTGGACTGTGGGCACGTGTGGGAGTTTAGCAGCTGTTTGAGCGGGGCTCGTCACTGCGTCACGCAGCATCTGCGCTCTCATTGGTCCGCTCTTGAGCAATCTCAGTTGTATAAACTGCAGTTTGGAGGAGTTGGTAGACTCATCCGTACGGATTCTGTCTTAGTCTCAGTAGCGGGAAACGGCTGAGTGAGGGGACCAAGAGGCTTAATCAGGTTTCTGCAGACTTGTCTCGAGAAGTGAGTTAGACATGCAGAGCTGTGCCAAGTCCTGGGGAATCTTCTTGGCCAGGTCGGTGAATCCCAGCGCACCGTGCAGGCACTTGAGCGAAAAGAGCCGCGTGGTTTGGAATCTCCAGCGCCGGATCCGAAACGCCGGGGCATCCCTAACAACAGCAGCCGGGGGTCTGCGGACGCCTGCAGCCGTCTCCTCCAGACAGATAGAGACGATATTACCTAGACATGACGATTTTGCAGAGAGGCACATCGGTCCAGGTGAGAGGGAGAAGAGAGAAATGCTGGATGCTTTGGGACTCGAGGTAAGATTTGCAACTTGTAGCAAAACAATGGGAGCAATGTGCCTCCCCCTGTATTCAACCTGATCTCAGCATGAAAGCGTTTACTTTGACCAGTGTAACAGTCAATCGACCAGTTGATCGAAAGCACAGTTCCAGGCTCCATCCGCTTGCAACGGAGTATGAAAATGGATGATCCGATCTGTAAGTTTGCTTACATTTTTATATATTTGTTATTGATGGAGTAACATTTGCATTGTGATATTTAAAAGGCTGCACAGTCAAAGTCGATGCAATGGTTCCAAACCCGATTTAAAATGGTAAAGGTGGTCAAAATGGATGTGAAAACGGGGCGTCTGTCTCACTGGGCTCCAGCTATCGTGCACGGTGAGCTTCTTCCCACAGTAAACGGGCGTTCAGTGAAGCCGAGGGAGCGCCTGAAATGTAGGTTGCGCCTCTGCCGTGCGCCCTGGAGCTCTCTCCCTTGTCAAGTCTTCCTTTGAACATATTTGGAGTTGTTTTTGCAAAACTCGGCGAGCGGCACCAATCTCCTGTTGGGAAGCCGATGCTCATAGGATGGCAACTGGAGTGTAAAGTTAAGCCTTGAGCTCCGGTCCCAAGTCCAGTTCAATCTGGTTACAGCGTTCACATTACATCACAGCCGAGGGGGCTGCCTAATAAGGTGACTTCAGTAGGCTGCCTCTTGCATTGGACCTGCTTGGATGGCTTTTTGTTCTTCTTCTTAAGCAATCCGTGCACATGCCAGCATCAGATACAATCAGTTTAACTAGTTTGTTCTGACTCAGGGGAAATACAAGCTAAAGAAAGAATGATTAGTTGAATTTATCAGAGGAGATTTGTTGCACACATTGAAAGAGATGTAAACATGAGGCTTTAATTGTTGCTATAATCCTCTAAAATCAGCTGCCTCATTGTTGAAAGCTGAATAAATGACTGACTACATAAATAATCAGACTATATTTATGCTTGGAGTGAGGCTTATGTTAGTTTGAACTGCTGTCACTACTTTGAGTGTGTGATGTGCTAAATAAAAAATACAGCAGGGCTGAAATCGGTGTCTGTGTGTTTTCTGCATATCATTGCAGTAAATGCAAACCAATTCAGCTGAAATCTGTTTCATTGTTATGCATTACAAGGCTTATCAGCAGAGAAAATGGGATAAATGCGACTGCAGTTGATCAGTTTTCATTTTTGGTTGGCTTGTCAGGTAAATTCTCAGTTAATGTATGAACCATCTGATCTACGACATCTAAACACAATGAAACATGCCTGATGCAGCAAATGGCCCAAAACCCAAAGAATGTAATTTGCTGTCACATAAGACAAAGAAAAGTAAAATGGCCGCTCAAGCTGGGGAATTAGTCATTTTCCTCCAATTTAAAACATAAAAAAAAAAAAAAAAAAAAATCATAGAAATAATGATATATTTTTAATAAATGCTGACATGCTGTCTTTAAGTGTAACCATAAACTCAGGTCAGTTGACACCAGAAGTCATTCACCTGACATGGTGAGCTTTAACACTCCAGAGAGATCTCTAGAAAAGCCAACATTTAGAAGATGTTATTGTAAAGACACAGAAGTTACTAATCCCCTGGTACTGCAGCGTTTCCATAATAACTAGCCACTGATCTGCCCTTGTGTCAGCCCCTCCTCTGGCTGTCTGGTCTCATAATGCAACGAGCCATGCTGAAGGGACAAACTGGAAACCACACTGGTTTTCTGCTTGTTCAGCTTTGGAGGGCTTTAGTTTGCAAAGCCAGCTAGGGATCCTTTCTTCAACAATACACCTCCTGGATGGTTCTGAATCAGGCTTTTTTGCTGCCCTGTAGAACTCCAGGATCATGGGAAAGCAGCTAAAAAAAAAACACACATACTAATGGTTTGCCCAGAACCTGCTGATAATCTTAATCACTAAACTTTTATGTTCTCTGCTGAATTTGGCTGATTCACCAGTGTGTGTGCTCTTCTGCCTCTTAAAGAATCTGGTAACATCCACTTGTTCCTTCCCACCACTAGAGGTGTCTCTTTCTTTTCTGGAAACGGGAGTAGTCGAGGTTTTGCTTTAGATGGGGGTTATTGCCCATTCCTTGGCGTTGCTAAGCAGCCGTCAAAGCCAGAGGAATCCGAGTCTGGTTGTGCACTGACAGAGTGGCCTTACAGCGGTGGGGAATTAGGCTAAATAACTGGTCATTGGAAAAGAAACACTGTCATCTCATCTTAAGTTTATTAGCTGTCTTTTTCCTTACTGGTGTGATGTTTATTGTCCATCTTATATTGATGGTTATACTGTAAAGGGCTGCAACTAATGATGACACACATTAACCCACACACTATATTCTTGAATAGTTGAGTCAGTAAAACACAAACGCCCATCACAGCATCCTAGAGCAGAATCAGCTTTATTGGCCAGGTGTGACGGACACACGAGGAATTTCACTCTGGTACATCGGCTCTTAATGTGCAAACAGTAAACGAGCATAAGGCTGTGTAATATATAGATTATAAAGACTGAAACAAATGGACTGAGACACAGCTTCTTCCCCAGAGCTGTGAAATCAATCACCCCCCTAACCCCCAGTCACAGACACAACCTCCTCCCCCAATGGACAGACACAGAACACTGGACCTCACACCTCCTCCTAAAGACTGAGATTTGCACTGAGCTGCACCTTATGTTACTACATTCTTGCTGCTGACCTGATTAGGTCCCATACATCCCTTTTTATTTGTTCATATTTTTATATTGACTTATACAGTTGTGTGTTATGTAAATAATGTTTGTCTTTAAGCCAACAGCTGCTGGAAAAAATTTCGCTGTGCTATGCATAATGGCAATAAAGATTCTTGACTTGACTAGTAGAACCATGGTCTCACATTAAATATTTTACAGGCGAGAATGAGGTTCTGGATTCTCTGCAGAAGATTGCATCAAAGAACAAAGTGTGGAGATCCTACATCGGCATGGGCTACTACAACTGCTCAGTACCGCCACCCATCCAGCGTAATCTCCTGGAGAATGCAGGCTGGTGAGTACTCTCTGGATATCTTCCTAGAGGGAGATTTGAAAGTGTTGTGAGCATTTTATTTATTAATTTTTTCTTGAGATACCAACATAGGTTACTAATAAAGCTGGTTGTTTACTCATCTAAAGCTAAAATTGCTGTAGTGCAGAGTACAGTGCCCTTAAGAGGAAGCCATGTGACTCAAGGTTACTTAAAGGATCTTAATTGTGCAATCCACAATATACTTTTCTGCTGAACATGATTTTCCACTCGTGCACATGTTTTCTCCCAAATCCTGGGTTCAGAGGAGTTGCACAATGCATTCCGCTGTCCCATCTCGGCCCGTGAACACCGCCACCTCTATGCTATTGTCAAAACTCACTGTGTGCGCCTTGTTCTCAGGGTGACTCAGTACACACCCTACCAGCCCGAGGTCTCCCAGGGTCGTCTGGAGTCGCTCCTCAACTACCAGACTATGATTTGTGACATCACGGGTATGCCTGTGGCCAACGCCTCCCTGCTTGACGAGGGAACGGCTGCTGCTGAGGCCATGCAGCTCTGCCACAGGTATTTTAAGTTCACCTACTACAGATCACAAACACAAGGTGTGAGGTGGAGGACAATCATTGCTTTGCAAAATGGGATCTAGTTATGAGTTACAGGTAGTTACTGTTACACTTTGGACATAGGTCACATCTAAGCCTCAAGATGAAACAAAGCAAATGCATGCACTGTCAATACATGAACATGCACATATTGCCTGGATAAGTCACCAGAAATGTTCCTCTAGTAAATATAGCAAAATATTTCTGATCCTAGAAGTGAAAAACTGGGTTGAATTGACTTAATTCAACATGTAGTTTGTACGCAGGCCTGAGTCGCAGTTTTTTGGTGATAGAAATCATTCTGACCAGTTGTTTACTTCTCATAGACAGAACAAAAGGAGAACTTTCTATGTTGACCCACGCTGCCATCCTCAGACCATTGCTGTGGTGCAGACCAGAGCCAAGTATGTACTTTACACACACAATCGGTGTATACACTCTCTTATCAAAGCGACACTAGTGAAGCTGTCTTTTAGCTTACGAAACAGTCAGCTTTTATTTTGAAAGTGATCAATGTTTGCACTACTATATAGACATCAGTAATGTCTTTTGCAAAGCAACTTCAGGCTTTGGTGTTCTGTTGCAGCTACATTGGAGTGAAAACCGAGCTGAAGCTTCCTCATGAGATGGACTTCAGTGCAGGGGATGTTAGCGGTATGCTCTTCCAGTATCCAGACACTGATGGCAGGGTGGAGGACTTTACAGCTCTTGTGGACCGTGCACACAAAGGAGGGGTGAGAGAAAGTTCCTACGAAAGTAAAGCGTGTAAAAGTGTCATTTTTAAGCAGCTTTACAAGATGCTGGTTGAAAACAGCTAGCGGGGCTAACTCTTTGCATAATGTCTAAAAATAAATAAATAAATGTAATGAAGACTGAATATATCAAGTCACATTTATTTACCCTTAGACCCTCAAATCTTAAAGTTCTGTGCTAATGATGCAGCTGTACATGACAGCAGAACACAACAGATTAGTCAGAAGTCTTTTTATGACCAAATGCACCACCTTCCCTTTGCAGGCCCTGGCGTGCTGTGCCACAGATCTGCTGGCTCTCTGTGTGCTGCGTTCTCCTGGAGAGTTTGGTGTTGATATCGCACTGGGCAGCTCCCAGAGGTTTGGGGTTCCTCTCTGCTATGGTGGTCCTCATGCTGCCTTCTTTGCTGTTAAAGACAACCTGGTCCGGATGATGCCTGGCAGAATGGTTGGAGTCACTTTGCATGACACAACACTTAACAGTTAGAATATCTTAGGATTTATTTCCTGAGAGGGAAGCTCACTGTATGGTTTTTGAAAATGACAGGGCTTTGTATTAAGGCTACAATATTTCATTCAGAAACTGTTTAAAAAAAGTACTTGTACTTCAGGGACGCAGCTGGAAAGGAAGTGTATCGCCTTGCTTTGCAGACTAGAGAGCAGCACATTCGCAGAGACAAAGCAACCAGCAACATCTGCACTGCACAGGTATGACCAGGCTCACATTTTGTTCACCTGTATCTTGAAATAATCAAAGTGAAGTAAATCGAACCATTATGGGAGAATGTGAGATTTTGTAGTTGTGTGAAACTGTTTTTATTTCTATTGCAACAACAGAATCCTTGTCATGTAGTTAACCGTTTGTGTTTTTCTTTCTTGACCAAATAATACATGTTGATCCATGTTGTTCAACCTAGGCTCTGCTGGCCAATATGGCTGCCATGTATGCATTGTATCATGGCCCTCAGGGACTCAGACACATCGCTGAGAGGACACACAATGCTGCTCTGATCCTTGCAGAAGGTACAATGTGTTTTTGCTTATCAAGCTTTTATTGATGCAGTAGCAGGATATTTTTCTGGATGTAGTCATTTATGACAGTTTATGCATTTTTTTTGAGGAATAATGTTTCCTAATTTTGTGAGCATTTGTCAGTTTAAACTACTACATATGACCTGTTAAATGAATAAATAAATGAGGTATGATATTCTTGTCTCCGATTTTGACAGTGCTATTACATTGTGGTAAAGGTGTATCATCCTTTCACATTTTGTCTATATCTGACATTTTGGACAAACGGTTGAATAAAGGATTGGACAGAAACTGATATGTCATCACAACTACATCATGCACAGCAGTGAAAATGCAAAAAACTATGAGAAATATTTCCCCTTTCCTTCTTTAGTTCTATCCTCCAGAATAGAAGCACATTTCTTCAGGTATGTGTCCATTTACAGAATGCACAGTATGTAATTGTTCACCTCCACACTTTGTTCCAGGTCTAAAGAGAGCAGGACACCGACTACATAGTGAGATGTTCTTCGACACGCTAAAAATCAGCTGCGGAGTGGCGGCTAAAGACATCCTGGATAGAGCTGTGCAGAGGCAGATAAACCTTCGAGTCTACACTGAGGGAGTGGTGAGAATTAAGCATCTTTGAAGCACTGTACTAGCAGTTTAATAGAATTTAAATTCCTTAAAGGATCATACTCAATGGGGTGGACTTCATTTATAAACAGTCTTTTGCCCTTGTTGCAGCACAAAACAGTAATGCCACAAACTGATACATTCATGATGCTGCTGCCACAACTACCGGAGAATCACCAGCATCAACGTACATAACAGCAGCCAAACCCAACGAACACAGGGCGCAGGGAGATTACAGGGAAATGCAGAAGTTGTTGTTAAAAGAAGGGTTTTGTTCATTAATTAAAAGCTAAACTAAATATTTATGACCCTTGCGATGCCTCGGCTGATGCTTAAGGAAGTGGCTACAGTTTTAATTATTGATTCAAGATAAATGGTTGACGTTTGCAGAAACAACTGGCTTCAAAGGACAATCATCTAGTTTGATATCAGTCTTCCAGTACTAATAGGAACCATGTCAATGAGAACCTTGATTTACTTGGCAGATAAAAAACAGTTTGTTTCCCAACATCTGTGACGCTCATCCAAAGCGCCGTTGGCTTTCTGCTCGGTTTTCAGAGGATACTGAATGTAGTTTGAGTAACTGGATCTAATCATCGTTAAATGTGTTTAGGGGGAAAGATGTACATCAGATGTGTACAGTTAAAGTTGAAATGTTTTCTTCTCTGCTTTTCTGCCACAGCTGGGTGTGTCTCTGGATGAGATGGTGACTGAGAAGGACTTGGATGACCTGCTCTGGGTGTTTGGCTGTGAATCTTCAGCAGTACGTTGGTTGATATTTACTCATTGTTGATCCATTATTTATTTGTCATTTAAATCGGCTTCATCTGTAACTTTGTCTCAGAGTTGCATAGTAGTTACTATTATTATGATTATGTCCAGAAACGGCTTCACAGTCGAATGCCACCTGCTTTAATTAGAACTGCTGAATTTTCAGGAGCTGATTGCTGAGAAGATGGGGGGGCGGGTGAAGGGGATCATGGGAAGTCCTTTTAAGAGGACGAGCAAGTACCTCACGCACCAGGTCTTTAACAGGTTGGTATTCTCAGTTAAGCTGCAACGTTGTAGCACATTGACTGTTTTTATGTCTTTATGACATATTTGGATACAAATCTCAGATCAAGGTTTTATTGATTGTCTGGTATTTGCCACGAATACTGTTGGGTTACTTCCATAGTCACTACATTGCATACATGTCTGTTTTTTCACATTTTTCAATAGAAATTGGACACGAAGCTGCCCTTGCTACTTATATGAATCAGTTTTGTGACATAACAGATAAATCTGCTTCAAAACATTTTAAGTTCCCTCTTATTTTTGTTATGGTTACACATTGAAATCAGTATATGATATAAATTTTCTCACAGTAGTCGTGTAAATAGTTCCATGCTGCACTCTTTTCCATTTTGCTGCTCCTGGTAGGCGTTGCCACAATGGACTCATCTGTCTCCTTGCATATGGAAACCAGCGGCTGGGTATGGTGCATTGGCTGAGAAGTGAACCCAGCCCACACGCATGGGAGGCGAGATGGCCCCGTGCTGTGTAAAGATAACAATAAAACATCCATAATGCCAACACAATCCTCTCTGCTGGCAAAATTGTATATTTTATTAGTGCCCTAACAACTGCCTGGTATCAGAGCTTCTAATGTCCAAGTTCTCAGTTTGTTTGACATAATTATTGAGACTTGCAGCACATTGCAAAATTTCTTGGCACTAAAAGTGAGAATGCTTTAAAAATGTTGTGAAATTTTCGTTGATACAAAGTACAGTAAACTGGGGGGGGACTCATCAAAACCATTTGATTTTGAAAGAGCACATTCTCACAGATACGCGTCCAGTTTCTGGAGAACCTCCCATCAGAGGATAATGTGCGCTCAGCTAAACCAACTTCTTTCTGATTTTAATCCTTGTCCACAGTTATCACTCTGAAACCAACATTGTACGATACATGAAGCGTCTGGAGAACAAGGATATCTCCCTGGTGCACAGCATGATACCACTGGTTAGTCCTCCCTGCAGTCAAACAAGACATTCATATCATGTTATGTGAGAGTTCTTTGGTGGTTAAATGCGGTCTTCCTCAGGGCTCCTGCACCATGAAGCTAAACAGCTCTTCAGAGCTCATGGTGAGTAAATGCATAACTTGTATCTTTACATATTCTCAGAACTAACGTGAATTAGTTTTGAAAAGATGCGTTCTGTCTGGCTCAGTGCTGTCCTCTACTTCTTTAGCCATTCACCTGGAGGGAGTTTGCCAACATCCACCCCTTTGTACCTCTGGATCAGGCTGAGGGCTATCAGAAACTTTTCAGGCAGCTGGAGAAGGATCTCTGTGAGGTGACAGGCTACGACAAGATCTCCTTCCAGCCAAACAGGTAAGACTCACCTTGGCTGCTGTATAAATTTGCATATTCTAGCATCCAGGTCTGCACTTGAAGGCTGCTCTGAAATGTTTTTGATAAAGGAAGACTGATTTTAAATTTCCCTTTGCAGGCAGTTTCCAAGAATAGGGTATCAAACACTGATTAGTTTCCTCAGAACAGGCTTTAGAAGCGCCATCAGACCTATAGCAAGCTGTCACATCATTAGAATTAATGTTCTATACTGCTGGGAAACTGAAAAATGTGATCACAATAATTCTAGGCCATATTGTCCCTGCTGATTTCCCATCATATTTTCATACTCTGAACAGTAGGATTGTGAGCCAGGTATTCAGTTGAGTGTGTGTGTGGTATTAAAGGTCCTAATGAACCTTGCCCAAACCTTGAAGAAGCCTTACAGCCTATTGTACAGAGAAAGGATTTCCTACCAAATCAATGGTGCGTCATTAACCTATTATACGAGAACATCTCTAGACTAGTTACAGTTGGCTGTTCAAGCCTGATCTGTCTCGTATAATAAACAGTACAGTACGTGTTTATTGGTTAACAAGAGACTGAGGATGTATGAAAAGTTGAAATGAGGCCTTTATTAGGAGTGAAAAACAGGAGTGGACACTTGCCAAAATTAAAATGGTTAATCAAAGGCACAGGAAAACGGATTAGATTTTCCCTCATGCCTGAGACTTTATAGTTGGTTTCAGTCAGTGTCCAGTAGTGAACTCTTAAGAATTTTATGCTTTTATATATTTCAGGTCTCAGCTGATAAAGCACATCTGCCATCTATCACTGCTTATCAGTAGGTTAATGACTAGAGCACTGTGTGACATTGACCCAGACAGTTAACATGTAGCTGGTTTTTCATCCCATGTGTCTGTCCCCTTTTGGTAATGTCTGCAGATTGGTCTTTGAACTGTGCTGAGGTTAGAATGAACTGTAGGGGTGTGGGTAGTACATGACCATGGTGTGTTTGCTTTGTCTTCCAGTGGTGCTCAGGGAGAATATGCTGGCCTGGCTGCCATAAAAGCCTACCTGAACTCAAAGGGAGAGAGCTCAAGAAGTGTAAGTGTGCTGCTATAGAGAGATGAGGGGGGAAAAAGTCGTATTGGACTCGTACCAAACCAATGCAAATCATGTTGATCTTCACAGGACCTAATCCTGTACATAGCACATTTTGGTTTGATCCAATTCTTTTACCCAACAAGTTTCACTGCAGCAAACAGGAAAAGGGATGTAAGGATCTAAGTCATGTTCACTTCAGCAATGTAGAGCAAAATATATTTAGAGTAGTTAAACATTATGGGGAAAACGGCACACTGACTTGCTTTCTTGATAAGTTAATGCCACTTATGTCCGTGCATTAAATTCATAGTCAGGAGCCAGGTTAGTTAAACATGGCATAAAGACTGTCAGAAGTGAAGAGGCTACTTCCCAAAATGTAGTGTTATCACTGACTTCCCCGACATATGCCCCACACCTAAAGAGGCTTAAAGGATGTCAAACTGAAGCTCCTGAAAATACTGTATGATGCTTCAGCTGGTGTCCAAACCTAATTAAAAATAAAACTTTAACCCTTATAATGTGCTTCCTAAAGCAATAATTTCATTGCTATTCTTAGACAGTGTTTTTATTATTGGTTACTGGGCTGATATGAGAAGATGATTTATGACTAGTAGTTTCTACTAAAGCAGGTTAATAAAGAGCATTGGTACATAAACCACACAGTGTACAACAAGGTTTTACTGTTCCCAGGCTGCAACAGGTCACTTTGACTTCACAGATTGATAGATATTCCTTCAGTATCCAGACATGCTGAGGTTGAGAACAGGGCAAGATAAGGCTCCCTGAAGAACAATCCAGCAACACTTGCCATCTAGAGGATAGCTTTCTTTTTACATAGGTGGGTTTTGTCATGCCTTTTGCATTAAGATGCTTAAAATATTTATCACACTTTATAAATTGGTTTTGGAGGATACCACAGTGATCTGACCTCTAATGGGTTAACTAGGGTTCTGTTCTACCTGTGGACCAAATATGGCTTCACCTAGATCCGTTACCAGACACACCCCTTTTCCTCGCTAGTTTCAGAATGTGATTGGCCTAAAACCACATGACCATATACCCAACCCACCCATGTGTGCATGCCTTATTGGCTGGCAAGCGTGTATGTATATGAGCATGTTCCGTTTAAAACTTTTAATCTTTGCTTTCTGACCCGGATGAAACCACAAGCTGAAACACCTGGATCTAACAAGAAAACCTTATGCTGCAGGTGTTGCTGGAGTTTTGTCATCTTCAAATTATTTTCCTCCTGTCTCTGTGCACTTTGGCAGTAGGTGAAGCTGTGTGAGAAATTCCTACTCTGAGATAAGACACCCCTCAGATTAAAGACTGGCTGACTCGAGTAGGCTGTAATTTGTTTTTAATGCTCCCTTGTGAGTACATCTTAGACAGCGGTCTGATCCTTTGAAGCAGTCAAGGTCCAAACTGACAGTTTGTGCAAATGAACAAGCTGAAAACCCCATGATCCCACCATGGGCCACCTGCTTTCAAGATTCCATATTAGGAGATTTGAGACTGTAAACTGCAAGTCACTGGTGTTGCAGGCTCAGCAGTGTTTTCTCGGTCACTTGGCAGTGTTACCCAACACACAGGTCCAAGTGCCACAGTTTCTCTGCATGACTAAGTTGCAAAATTTCAAAAGTGTCAGCCTAATAAGGGATAAAAGTCAATTTAATGAGGTGTGTGGAGGTTACACATGAGTGCCAGCGGTGGGTGTTGGCCAGATTCTGCCAAAAAAGAGTTGTAGAATAGCATTTTACCCTACAGACTAAGCTCTGCAGAATGGAAACTGTACAGAATGGACATCAGAATGTTAAGATTTTTATCATAACCAAACCTTTTCTTTTTCATAGCATGAAGGATATATTAGACCTGCAATAAGACATATTTTGCAAGCTCAGGCACTGTCTTAGTTATTTACCCAACAGTATATCTAGTATACTGGTAAAGGGAGGCCAAGCCACCACCAGTCTAAAATGTCTGTCCATGACTTTAGGTTTCCTTTGTTAGATTCAAAGTGGTGAATTCCAATTATATTCACCTCTTGTAGGCAGAAGCAAGTTGGTCACAGTTAGTCCTCACAAATCCTTTGGTTTTGAAATATCAGTGTCCTGTCTTAATTTGACAATATTTTATTGTGCTGTTCTTGGACATGAAGAGTATTCAGGCTTCGTATGCACATCTTTGTTGATCATCCAGGCGTTTCACTCATGCTCTGTCCTGTTACATTGATATTTCTTGTTTCATTCCAGGTCTGTCTGATCCCCAAATCAGCCCATGGCACCAACCCAGCAAGTGCTCAGATGGCAGGAATGAAGGTTCAGGTGGTGGAGGTGGACAAAGATGGTAACATTGACCTGGCACACCTTAAAGCTCTGGTAAGACCTGCAGTGTGGCTCTCCACTGGTTTGACACGAGTTATGATTTCATTGATCTGCACAGGACAACATTGTTGATGGGTGACGAAGAGGTGCATCCCAGTTCTCTTAACTGATCATTCCTTACTTCTCAACCCTTTCTTGACCCAGAAGTTGTACCGCTGCACCATCTTCTAGGATGTTTCAGTTCTCTTGCTGATGTTGGGAGGAGTGAGGAGGCTGCTTAGACAAGACATGAGTGAGAGACCATCCTTTGTGGAAGTCTTTTATGGACTGACGCACCTGTTTATCACTTAGTGATTGTATGCTTCAGGTTAGGGAGTGGAGGAAAGGATATCTCATGTCTCAAGATATTTTTGGTTTCTTTTTCCATGCATGTGTGAGGGACTTGGATGCAAGGAAAAGACAAGTGAGGGAAATGTGGATACAGGTAAAGGAATTGAGATGTACCCTTTGTTGTCCTCAGCACTCAGCATGACTTTTGTAAATGCTGCTATGCTAACACTGATTGATATGCAAGGCTATAGCAATGGAACTAGTACTGTATTACAGTGACATGGTCATCACACGGGTCATATTGTTTGAATGGACATTTGAAAACAATACACTTCCTTAACTTGGGTTTTGGCTAACTGTGTAATGAATTTAAAAAAATGTTTGAGTAAGAAATAATGATTAAAGGGGTACTCCTGTGATTTTTTTTGTGTGTCAAAGTCTGTTGACAGGTGTTGGGACGTTCTACTGCATATGTGAAAACAAAGTTGCGTAAAAGCTTTTATTCCTCCAGAAGGAGCTACAGTATTGTTGAAAATAATAGCAGTACAATGTGACTAACCAGAATAATCCAGGTTTTTAGTATATTTTTTATTGCTACATGGCAAACAAGTTACCAGTAGGTGCAGTAGATTCTCAGAAAGCAAACAAGACCCAGCATTCATGATATGCACGCTCTTAAGGCTGTGCAATTGGGCAATTAGTTGAAAGGGGTGTGTTAAAAAAATAGCAGTGTGGCATTCAATCAGTGAGGTCATCAATTTTGTGAAATAACAGGTGTGAATCAGGTGGCCCCTATTTAAGGATGAAGCCAGCACTTGTTGAACATGCATTTGAAAGCCTGAGGAAAATGGGTCGTTCAAGACATTGTTCAGAAGAACAGCGTACTTTGATTAAAAAGTTGATTGGAGAGGGGAAAACCTATAAAGAGGTGCAAAAAATTATAGGCTGTTCAGCTAAAATGATCTCCAATGCCTTAAAATGGAGAGCAAAACCAGAGAGACGTGGAAGAAAACGGAAGACAACCATCAAAATGGATCGAAGAATAACCAGAATGGCAAAGGCCCAGCCAATGATCAGCTCCAGGATGATCAAAGACAGTCTGGAGTTACCTGTAAGTACTGTGACAGTTAGAAGACGTCTGTGTGAAGCTAATCTATTTTCAAGAATCCCCCGCAAAGTCCCTCTGTTAAAAAAAAGGCACGTGCAGAAGAGGTTACAATTTGCCAAAGAACACGTCAACTGGCCTAAAGAGAAATGGAGGAACATTTTGTGGACTGATGAGAGTAAAATTGTTCTTTTTGGGTCCAAGGGCTACAGACAGTTTGTGAGACGACCCCCAAACTCTGAATTCAAGCCACAGTACACAGTGAAGACAGTGAAGCATGGTGGTGCAAGCATCATGATATGGGCATGTTTCTCCTACTATGGTGTTGGGCCTATTTATCGCATACCAGGGATCATGGATCAGTTTGCATATGTCAAAATACTTGAAGAGGTCATGTTGCCTTATGCTGAAGAGGACATGCCCTTGAAATGGTTGTTTCAACAAGACAATGACCCCAAACACACTAGTAAACGAGCAAAGTCTTGGTTCCAAACCAACAAAATTAATGTTATGGAGTGGCCAGCCCAATCCCCGGACCTTAATCCAATCGAGAACTTGTGGGGTGATATCAAAAATGCTGTTTCTGAAGCAAAACCAAGAAATGTAAATGAATTGTGGAATGTTGTTAAAGAATCATGGAGTGTAATAACAGCTGAAAGGTGCCACAAGTTGGTTGACTCCATGCCACACAGATGTGAAGCAGTTATAACAAACTGTGGTCATACAACTAAATATTAGTTTAGTGATTCACAGGATTGCTAAATCCTAGAAACAAAAACGTTTGTACAACATAGTTTTGTGTTTGTACAGTCAACGGCAGACACTGCTATTTTTTTGAACACACCCCTTTCAACTAATTGCCCAATTTCACAGCCTTAAGAGCGTGCATATCATGAATGCTGGGTCTTGTTTGCTTTCTGAGAATCTACTGCACCTACTGGTAACTTGTTTGCCATGTAGCAATAAAAAATATACTAAAAACCTGGATTATTCTGGTTAGTCACATTGTACTGCTATTATTTTGAGCAATACTGTACTTGGTGTACGTCTAAACCTGCAGCATAATGTTGTATAAAGCAGCTTTGTCAATTCTGAGAATATCATAACCCTGATGATATCACCAGGATCATCTCAGGTTGTGGTTGAGACTTCACCTCTTTAGCAGAGAGTCTGTGTTATGAGTTTGAAACTAATCCTTTGCAGATAATTGTAACAGCAGGTGAACCAAAGACGGTCTGAGACTATTCTCCATAATTTTCTACTACAGTTTGGTTTTGACTAGGATTGTGGTGAAATGTAGTGAGGACAGAAAAATCAGCATTGAATTCAAATTAAATGATTAATTAGCAATCATAGGATGAAGCTGTATTGAGAGAACATTTCTTACATTTATCACATGACAATTCCGGGTCAGATTTTCCTCAATCATAAGACTTGCAATATGTTTTTTAAAGACTTTTGTTAAGGCATTTTTTATTGTTAAAAAATCAACAGTACTCTAGCTATACACAGATGAGGTGTCTAATTAAAAGAAAAGCAAGTCTCTGAACTCCAATGAAGGGATGAGCACCGTTCTTCCAAAAGATATCCTTTCATGTGGTGGTTTGATAATTGAGGTGGAGACGCCGTCTGATACGTCAGTCAGAAATGTTGAACTGGGTTGGAATGTGGTGATTGAAGGCTGTAACATGCGAGTTGTATTGTTTTCATACTCATCAGACCCCACGTGTCCTATGGACAGAGGTGTTGTCAGCCTGGAAGAGACCACTTTTTTTTTTTTTTTTGGCGTTTCCTTTGTCATCCGTGTGTATGTAATAAAGTAAGCAGTTGTATTTATCTACAGGTGAATAAACACAAGGCGAGTCTGGCAGCCATGATGATTACCTACCCATCGACCTTTGGTGTGTTTGAGGAGCATATCCAAGATATATGTGATCTTATCCATGAGAACGGTGGCCAGGTGTACCTGGATGGGGCCAACATGAATGCGCAGGTGAGAGGAGAAACGGCAGTGTCACATTTTTAAGTGGAAATCCCAAAACCTGAACTCTGCCTATGGAAAGTAAAATATTACTTGGTAAAACTGCAGGCTAATAGGAAAAAAGGTTTCTAGATGTGGTTTATGTTGGAACTATACAGTATAACATTTGGGCTCTGTGATATGATTGGTTTTTACGCCAAAACTACAACCCCAAATCAGAAAAAGTTGGGACTGTATGTTAAAACTGATGATTTGTAAATCTTCTGTGTCCTGTATTACATTGAAAACAATACAGCAGCACATTATTTGATGTGACGCGTCATCAACTTTATTCTTTGTTCAAAACAAACACTCGCTTCAATTCTGATGCCTGCAACACATTCACAAAAAGAAACGAAACGCTGGAACAGTAAAGTGTTTACCACGGTGTGACGTTGCTCCTCTTCTTCACAACACTTAAAGAATGCAACACAGGACACAGATGACTTACAAGTGACGATATTTTGATTTTACATACCATCCCGACTTTTTCTGATTTGGGGTTGTCCCTCTGCAAACTTCCTCCTGTTTTACTGGTAATAGCCAGTGACACAACAGTTTAGTTATTGGGCAGATGAAACAGAATCTGAGATCACTTTAGATATTCAAATTATTCTCAGATTTTTGTGCATCTTATTACCTCCCTAGCATCTACAGCAATGAAATGCTGTGGAGCTGTTCAAGAAAGTCGGTGGTTTCAGTGAGTAGAGGTCTGCTCTTGGGAGCAGGAAGTTGCACTTCCTTCCTTGCTCTTTTTTTCCAGGTGGGTCTTTGCCGTCCTGGAGATTACGGCTCTGATGTGTCTCATCTCAACCTACATAAGACCTTCTGCATCCCTCATGGTGGAGGAGGACCTGGCATGGGACCCATTGGAGTGTAAGACAGAATATAAAATGTTAAAGGTGTCGTATGCTGTAAAACCCCTTAAGGCAAATTTGTGATCATTTGCTTCCCTCTTTGGGCTGTGAGTTGAATTTAAGTTAACTTGTGCATGTGCACTTCAACATTTCTATCAGTCTTCCACTACAAATGTTGGAAACATCTTTGGGTTTAGTTGAATCGTGTGTGTGCTCTATCTATGCACACACCTGCATTTTTACTGCACAGGCAGGTGACAACCAGCAAAAAGCTTGGCTGTAAATGTTTAACTTTAACATTAAATATTCATCATTAAACAGTAACAAAAAACAGAAGTCGGGGGGGGGGGGGAGAATCTTATTATTGATCAGGACTGTGGACCACCCAGCTGTTGTAACTGTTCACGTGGGACTCTGGCACTCACAGAAACAAGCTGATTGACAGATTTTTAAGGCTTTCAAGCTTTGTGTACTCATGTCATCCATCTCTTCTTCATCAGGAAGGCCCACCTTGCCCCTTTCCTGCCGAGCCACCCGGTGGTTCCAATGCAGCCGATCAACACCGGTAGCTCGCTGGGCACCATCAGCGCCGCCCCCTGGGGCTCCAGCGCCCATCCTGCCAATCTCGTGGGTTTACATCAAGGTCAGCACAGCTCATCTATGATAGCAGTGACACTGTTCTGATACCAAATGTTGTCAAAACTTTGCCAAACATATGATGGACACAGGAGCATACATTAGTAAAATAACAGTGAGAGTAAAAGACTTGAAAGCAGGAACAAAGGGGAAGCTCCGGGATTTATTCAAGAGCTGTCTGTGTCCAAACAGGGATTTCTTTTCAAATTGTTATATAGATATTCTGGAAAATCGTTTTGGCTGACTGTGCGAGTCTGAGCATAAATATAATACCTCAGGAAAAAATTTAAATATTGTTTTGCCAGATGTCTGAATTATTACACAAATAATTTCTTCAGTGGCAGTTTTGACAATGTTCCATTTGATCAGTGACAAGTACTCCTGACATCATTCCTGTGGTCTATCTTTAGATGATGGGATCCCAAGGACTGCTTCATGCTACAGAGGTGGCCATCCTCAATGCTAACTACATGGCCAAGAGGCTGGAAGGCCACTATAAGATTCTCTACAGAGGCAGGAAAGGTAGAGCTGTGAAAGTTGTATTTTTCTCCATGTATGTTCCAGAATGTCTATCAGTTTTCAACAATATTAAACAGCATAATCAGCTTTATCACATTTAAAATTTCCATTTTGTTGTCTGAACAGGTTTTGTAGCGCATGAGTTCATTCTGGATGTGAGACCATACAAGAAGACTGCTAATATCGAGGCCGTCGACATAGCCAAGAGGCTGCAAGATTATGGTAGGTAAAATTATGCACATCTATAATGCAAAATACACCGAATGGCCACTGTATTAGGAACACTTGGGCAATGCAATACAGCAGCTTAGCCATAAGATCCTTTTTAATGTGTATAATGTTTTTGTTAAATGATTTAGGTTGTAGTTAGTGGTGATGATGCATTATATTCAGAGGTGTTTCTAATCTATGGGGGGAAAAATAGTCCCAGTCAGTGGATCTAAATACAGGGTTAAGACAAATGCTGCTCAATATAATGTTGTCCAGTTCAACACCATCTTTTACTATGACTTTAGTAATAAACACAGATGAATTTGCACATTTCTGACACTGTCAACAAAAACTAGATACTGAATGTAAGTTTATAGCTGAGCTGTTGACTTGGAATAAATTGTACCTAATAAAGTGGCCAGAGTCTATACAGGATCATACCTTTTTTGGGTCCATATAACCAATAAAAATCAGTTGTTTCAGGCTTTTTTTTTTTTTTTTTTTTTTCCCCTCTTCTTCTTCTCTGGTGTCCAGGTTTCCACGCCCCCACCATGTCCTGGCCTGTGCCTGGAACCCTTATGATTGAGCCCACTGAGTCAGAGGACAAGGCTGAGATGGACCGATTCTGCGACTCCCTCCTTGCCATCCGTCAGGAGATTGCCGACATTGAGGAGGGAAGGATGGACTCCCGCATCAACCCACTCAAGGTGTGCCACTGGCTTAAATAGTCTCATTAAAGTTACAAGATGGCTGATGTAAACCTGAGACATCTACCATCTGAGGTCCTTACGGGGTTGTCTCTACTTGCAGATGGCCCCTCACTCTTTAGCCTGCATCTCATCATCCACCTGGGACAGACCTTACTCCAGGGAGTTTGCTGCTTTCCCCTTGGTGAGTGTCCTCATCTCTGACTTCATTGCACACTCCCTGCTACAACACTTCTTTAGTGCTTTAGATAGATGTATTGCCCCCCAGTGGTGAGTAGTCAGACAGAATCCTGTCAAATGTATAAATTGTTTTATTATCGTCATAGTTAAAGGGGGTGTTGTACTGCACTATATTATGTTCAGTTGTTCCTAATATTCCGACCCTCTCATGTAACTGGGAGGACAAAAATAGACACCTGAATATAATGTAGTACCGTACAACACCACCTTCAACTATGACCTCAATAATAAACATGTTGCTGAATTTATACGTTTGACAGTTTCGCCAAAAAACATTTTGAGCTTCATAAACACAAATGTTAAGTGCTGCATTGAATTGTACAGGTGTATCTAATAAAGTGGCCAGTATGTGTAGTCCTTCTGGCAGTAGTAGTCAAAGGCTGATTAGCCATTTGCTCTATCTGCTGGACAGTTAAAGAACGAACATTTCAGAAACAAAATATCACGGGTTTCACAAAACTAGAGCTAAAACAATTAGTCAAATAACAGAAAATTAAACAGGAAAAATTTTATTGTGATTTACTTCAAGTGGGAATGTTAACGTATGTGCTGGTTCCAGCTTCTTGAATTTGACAATTAGTGTCTTATTGTTTTATATCAGTCTGCATTAAATATTTTTAGTCTGTCAAACAAGACATTTCAAGATGTCACACTGAACTCTGGGAAACAGACCTTTCCCATAGTTTTCAGACATCATATAGGAAAAATAAAATAAAAAAACTAAAAAAATAACTTTAAAGTTAAAGAAGGGCATAGCATTCACAAAATAAAAAATGAGGCCTTTATCTTATGAGATTCTGAGATCATTTCTTGTAATTAAGAGAACGCAGGGGTTGGAATGCTGCAGAATTTGCCCGAAAATAATCAGGTTTTAGCAAATTATTTCATATAAAAGATAATTGGTGATAATTGTCAGTACATGCAATAGTACATACCAAACATGAAGTCTTAATAACCAATTCATCATACTTAGTGTTCCAAAACATAAATACAGGCTAAAATGGGCTTCAGAGTTGCTGCCTACAGTGTAACTTACTATCTACATGCACTGAGTTGGAAAGTTTCAGAATCTGCTTAAGAAACACTGGGTTTTTAAGATTTCTCCAATATTAACATAATTCTGTCAGTACATACAATAGCACATAGCAAAAATGAAGTGTTAACAGGTAACCCAGTGTACCTGGTGTTCCACAGCCTAAACAATGTAGCCTAGGCTAAAAATGGCACCCACATGATATAAATGGCAACATTGCATAGCCTACTTCCTGTTTGTTGTCAACATATCTGTTCACACCAGTGATGACTATTAACACAGTGTTTTCTCATAACTGCAATCCAGAGATCAGGATCCTGTAATATGCTGAGTTATGGTTGCCATTTAAGAAGACAAGGATAGGATTAATTGTCAAGATCCTAAAGGCTATTAGTTTAGGTTATCTATAAAATGAGTGCAAAAAATGTTTTCGCAAAGTAATATGGAAAATGCCAATTATGTGAACAGATCATCCTTTTACAGGAAACAACCAGTGTAATGTTGCCATAGATACGAGTTACTGTGGGCTGCAGCCTACATTTGTTTGGAACATTAAGAACACTTGGTTAACTATTAAGTTTGTTTTTGCTATTGTATGTACTGAAATGGTTACATTAATACTAAAGAAATCCTTAAAAAAAAAAAAACAAAGTTTCACAAGCAAGTTCTGAAGCTTTCCATCTCCTGCTCAGTACATGTAGGCAGTAACTTTGAGGCCTAGCCTTGTTTACATTTTGGAACACTATACTAGTAATGGTTTCACTTGTACTATTGGATGTACTGACAACTATCACTGAATTACTTTTGATATTTGGGGGGAAAAAAAACATTAAAATGTGATCATTTTCAGTTCTTCAGTGTTTCAACCCCTGCATTATCATAATTATAATCTCCAAACTAGGAAAAAAAAACATCATTTTGAACTCTAGTCATTATTACACGATCCTCCAGTTTTTCTTTAGCGAATGCAATGTGCTTCCACAGAGATGAATTGTTAGTTGGAGTTGTGGACAAACCAAAGGCCAACTAGAATGAATGATTGCACTGTCACATTAAGTTCCTGTCACTAATTTGTTCTTTAATCCACCTTTTTACATCACAGCCCTTCATAAGGCCAGAGACCAAATTCTGGCCAAGCATCTCGAGGATTGACGACATCTACGGTGACCAGCACCTGGTGTGCACTTGCCCGCCCATGGAGGTCTACGAGTCTCGATACGAGGAGAACAGAGCCTCTTCATAGATGCTCTCTCTGGCCCAGTCCCAGTGGGCCTAAACTCTGAAACTTCAGACGCCTCTTCGTTCAGCGTTAACATGAGCTCAAGGGTGTAAGGCAGGCGTGGCCAATTCCAGTCCTCGAGGGTCGCTGGAAGCTGGAAGATACCAATTCACTTTATCTTTCCTCACTCCACTTTCATCTAAGATGGTATCTTCTAGCTTCTGACTGGCTGAACGCAGCAGGTCAGGCAGGGATAGTTGGAAAACAAGCAGGACAGCGGCCCTCAAGGACTGGAATTGGCTACCCCTGGTGTAAGGGCTACTTTCTGGAATTGCATTAGCTGCATTGACATGCTCTGCTGCTACTGTTTTGTCTGTTTTTGATGATTTCTCTGGTTTTGAAGATTAGCTCTGTGAAACGTGGTGAATTCCCTCAAATAGAGAACCCTCAAACACTTGCCAATTTCATACTGAAACAGCTTGACTTACAAGTGGTTGTCAAAGTCTGTGAGGCGGCATTGGGACTTGGCTCTGTTCGACTGCACAGGGAGTCGGGGCGTTTTCCCCCTACTTGAGCTCTAATGGACTAATGGTGTGACTTTCCAAGTCTACAACATCTACAAGTCTGCTTGGTGCCTCTATTGCAAAATAGCTACCTTGACTTTCCCCAAACACCTGACAAAATACAGGAGAGTATATATATTTTTTTTTTTTGTAGGGCTGTCCCGAACAGCAGTTTTTAGGCTTCGGAGCTTTGCTAGTATTAGTCAGCTACTATGCCCACAATCTGTTCTCCAGATTGTGCTGCAGCTTAAACGTACCTCTTTGCCCATCTGGCAAAGGAAAGTTTTTATATAATGTAACAAATGACCATTTGCGTGTACAAGCCCGCATTCGATTTGAATACTAAAACTGAATTTATGTACCCAATATCAGATAGGCTAGACCTAGACCTTCGTTAATACACATCAATTGTATGAAGTGTTTTTATGTATCATTTGTTGGCTGCATAGAAGATAAGTCTCCATGTTAATTTTAACTGAAGTGTTTTTTTATAATCTAACCTGTCTGTAGTAAACATTCTTTAACATTGTACATGTCCTGTGTCCGACTACAGGGGATCTAACAACACTGCTGCCTATTTTCAGTTTCAGACAATCTTCACCAGATCTTTTAACCAAAATCTAGATTAGGCTTTTTGGTCAAATTCTATCTTATGTAGGGGGTTGAGCTGAAACAATTAGTGATTTTATAGTTGCCTACTTAAAATTCTTCAAGCAAAACAGTCATTAGCCTGCATGTCTTACTTTGTGAGGATTTCCAGCTTTTGTTTGTTTAAATGATCATGAACTGAATATCTGAGTTTTGGACTGTTGAACAAAACAAGTGATTCACTAGACATTTTGTAGCTCAATCAAATAAATTGCTAATGAAAATAAGTGAATGTTTCAGTCCTGCTTTGTGATATTACTATGGCTGAAACTACATTTATTAAGTGAATGTTTCTCAGTCATTTGGTCCATCAGTTTCCAAGCTAATTTAAATCACTTGCCTGACCACCAGTCCAAAACTCAAAGATATTGTTAGGTTTCACTTGAGAAGCTGGAACCAGTGGATCCTTGGCATTTGTGCCTCAAAGATAAAGTAAGTAACTGTCTAAGCTCTAACAAAGTGTAACTGAAACAAACTGAGCTGGATTTCAAAATCAGGCTGTATAACTGTACTTAAAACTCTTGAGTAGCACATACCTGAGAGACTTAAAAAGATGCCTCCGTAATCTCATCTTGGCATTAGTTTCATGCTGTGCTGGGCAACAGGCTGTTTGGGCTCCACTCTGGGAAAGCTGAAGATAGAGGTGAAGGAAATTAGGTTGATGTAGTTAAAAACAAATCAGTTCAGTGATTCATTCTCATCCTGCTCCAATGCTACAAGAACTGGTGACGAGTAATATACCTTGTATACTGAGACAAAACATATGGCTGACTTTCATGAATCGGGTAAAACAGGTTCAGAAGAAACAAACTTAAGCCTATTTCACTCTGCTTTGAATATATTTTCCAAGGAAGACAAAAAGTGCAGCGGGCAACAGGTACTACAGTACCAAGTTACACAGATGGTTAATTTCAAAGATAAAAGTTTTCCTTTTAAGACTAGTCTATTGCATAGAAAGAACTGGTTTGATGAACATTTAATAATCATAAAAGCTATACCATCCCATGAAAAGACTAAACCAACTTGATTCTAACAAGTATTAACCAGATATCTTATTCTTTGTGCTGTTTGAAAACTGCCATAAATACTGAAAAGCACATTAAAGACAGTTGAAAATTGTGCTCAACAAATGCACAATTTCCTCATAATCAAGTAACATTTGATAAAAACCAAACAAACAAAACTATAGTGCCTCCAGCAGTTTTACTGAGCCTTTATTAAACATGAAAGCTCATATTTGTAACTTGTGATTTTCAACTTAAGTAGGAACTAACCGGCTGAGCACCTCTAGCACCATGAGCTAACACATTACTGGTTTTTGTCTTCATGCGCTTTGTTGACAAAATACAGAATATTGGCATATTCTTCAAACACTGTAATTTGAGTGAGCTCTCAGTCTGTTTACTGTCAACCAGGGGAACCAATGTGGGCTTTACAGTGTAAGTGGGTAGGCCTGACTTTATTTGTTCAGAAGCTGCTTTGTTCTGGGGCAAGAAGAGGCATTTAAAAACATCCCCAGAATAAAGGAATGTTATATTTTACCTGATGAACTAAAAACTTAATGCATACCAGCCTTTTATTGTATTGGTTGCCAGAAACATAAAACAATTAAAAGAATACCTAAAGGGTGTTGGAACACTTGCAGACACAGCTGTGACGCAGGGGTAAATGGGTCAAACCACCGAGCAGCTGGCACGTGAAACACTGACCAAGTCAACAAAAACTATTTCTGGCACCTCTACGGCATTCAGGTGTAAATCCAAGTGTCTCACTTGCCTTTTCCTGTTTCCCAGTCCTCCTGACGGCTGTCAGTCTCCTCAGTGTTTCTCCTCTGAACAAGGTGTTTGAGCTATGTCAGTGTTACCTGATTAAGGCATTTAAGAAAAAACAAAATGTATCAGATTTTCAAATAAGTGCTATGGCAGAAGACATTTTGAGTCTAAGTTGTATACATTAAAATCTAGGACCAGACTGCTTACCTTCAGCAGGTGGACTGATGAAGCCACCGATGCTCCTGAAAAGCATAAAGAGGCCCAGCCAACTTTCAAGAGTTTCAATGTCTACGATGGAGGTGATGTGAAGCAAAGACAGATTCCCATGAGCTGGCGTTGGCAGCCACTGTACAAAGTAGAGGCTCACCATGGTGGTGGCAGGGATCCATGAGAAGGACATGCCTATTCTGGAAAAGGATTTAAAACATTACACATCTAATTATTTTGCACGATTGAGGTCAGATTATTGCAATAAATTATATACAAGTCAGAGAACCAGTAGCAGAGCAATGTCTTTTTCAGTCCTATTAATCAGATTTACGTTACAAACCCTAGTTTAGAGACCACAGCAATAGAGGGTTAAAAAGCAGTGATCAAAATTCACCAAAAAATTAAGTCAAAATCTGCAGACTGACAACCACATCTTTACCTGCTAGGTGAAACATGGTGATCATTGTGGAGGTGACCCAGGAGGTGGTGCTGGTCAGTGACTCTGGATGTCCAGGAAGAAGAGACCGAAGTTCTCAAGGAAAGCAGCAGTAAGACCCATGATGTTAAAGGACGATATGACCACCATCCAGCCATAACCCCCGTCAGGAGGTCTGGCTCTTATGGACTTTATGACAAACTACTCTGCAGGCTGCTCGCCTGTTTGTGCCAAAAGCTTGTGCAATAAATTGCAGTGCACTTTTATTCAGATGTTTAAGGTAACTGCACTGATATAGCAGAAGAAAGATATACAGTTAGCATGGACCTTTGATATGTTACTTCACCTTTTGCTCACATGTATCAAACAAGCCTCACAGCACACACCCGTTAAGACTGGTTCAAGTCCCTGTGTATCATTAGCAAAACCAATGTCCACCAGTCGAATGTCCTCCACTTTGGTAAACATTTTCTAGATGGAAATGGGCTTCCGTAAAATCAAGAGTATATATACACAATACTTTGTGATGGGATAAATAACATTAAACAAGATAAATACCTCAAAACTGACCTTAAATGTACTGAGTTAAGTTTGGCCACTGCTGTTATATTTAGTAACTGTTGCCGCAGCTACTGTACAGACAGTAATGTGGTCTAGTTAGCACACATGACACTGTCAGAGCTACAGGGGTTAAAATATCCAAATATCTCCCCCTGTGCTCCAGTGCTATGTGGACTACAGCTTAAATGGCTAACATGGATTACCTTTAAAAAAAAAAAACAAATGTTTGGTGACGTGTCAGTCTCTCTAAGGGGACCTTTTTAATGATGCCAGACTTACAGGATAACATTCCTAGAATGAGGAAGGATACTGATATACCAAGGTGTTTCAGCAAGACAAATGTAAACCAATGTGCGTCTTCAACCTGAAGCTGGTGGGTTTAATCTGCATCTTCTGTTGTAAAATGACTGAGCTTTTCATGACGGGAGAGCCACACTACTTGTCAACTTCATGGATATCGTAAGTAGTGTTTCTCATTCTAACTTTTGCTTCAAAGGTCAGTGTTGCTTAAGACAAGGAACACTAGGAGTTCCTTCAAGTACTGTGTTAGATATATTGTATATAGGTGCTCCACAGGAACGCATAGTGTGGAAATACCACAGAGCTCCACAGCAACTGAACCAAAAGAATTACACTGTTCTTTAATTTTCACACCATCTCTTACACCAATATGAAACAATAACAGATTTTTAAAATCACTTTTCTATGTACTTCATTTATACTGTCATCTTGCTTAAAGTTCAAATATAGTACTTAACTATATTTTCATTCTATAAAATTATAAAATTTTTCTTGAGATATGTACACAAATTTACTGTAAGTATATACACACATACATGGAAAACACAGCTCCATTAGTCCATGTGAGGGAGAAAAAGGGTGGTGAGAGCTAGCCCAGCTAGCTTGTTCAGATGGACACAACACAGACTGAGACATACACACATGTTCACACAAACATGGTGACGTTATTTTACACAAGCATCTCTAGCTTTAGGCCTGTCAATAGTTTATTCACAGTCTCTATAAACTTCTTTTAAAATGTTAAAGAATGTCTGACCGACCATCACCTTCAGCAGGTTGATGCATCCAAGCCTCTATTTTCTTCTGCTGCCCATAAAGCTGATCCATTACAGAAAATGGGAGTCCTTGTTTAAAGGCACCTTGGCAGTAGTTTTTCTGCTAGTCCTAGATTCAAACCTCCACTCTTCCAGTCACAGACTGGAATTAATCAAGAAAAGGCCCCTGTTTTTGGTCTTTTGTCCCTTTGCCACAAACAGGGCAACAATATTAAGAGCATCTTGGTTAAAGAGGAGCAGGGCACTTGAGGTGATTTTAAAATTCCTTACTGTCCCTGAACAGGTCGATGTGCAGGGCAAGCTCCTTGAAAGAAGGACGTAAGTCAGGGTCATTGTCCCAGCACTCCTCCATGATCTCATGTATCTGAGAGAAAGAGCAAGGAGAAGAGCACTGTTTTTTTTTTTTTTTTAAGCTAGGAGCAAAAAGTGCCAACTGATCAAACAACAGTGTTGTTGGCCAGACTTTGTAACATCACTCTGGATACATTTACAGTCACATCTTTGACTGTGCAGGCTGAATTCCTGAGATGAATCAAGAAAGTCTTTTTAAGTCAGGTATTCCTGACAAAAATGCGTAACATGATTGATTATTAACAATTGTTGACTAATTTTCTGTTGATCAACTTTTCAATCAGTAGATTATTTTAGATTTACAATCAACTTTATAAAACATGCATGTTTTCATACAAAGTTGCTTCCTTCCGGAAAGCAGCTGTGCATGTTCCTACCTCTGTGGGACAGCCCAGAGGCTGAGGCAGCCTGCTGCCTGATTTCAGGAGCTCAATGAGGTGATAGACGATCAACTGTCCCTGCTTGTCGTTCCCCATCATAGACATAAAAACCTGAGGAGGAGAATGATGACAGCCAAGACAAAGGCACATTAAAAAAATCTATTTGATTTAGAAAACACAAGAATATCATTACAGGTAATAAAACGATTACCTGACTGTTGTCAGAGTTTAAATATTAGGGTTAGTGTTCTCTTGTCAGAACATGAACCCCTGTATGCCGATGTCAAATAAAAAGGTTAATTGCAAGATGTTGACAGGCCGGAAGGTCTGTTCCTTCAGGTCAATTTATTTGTTGACCACAACAATTACACTAATTTCTTAAATAAAAAATGTGATTTTCTGAAGACAGTAACAATAGGACCTGATATATGGTATTACGGAAAACAAAACAAGAAATTAGCTTCAGTCTGTTGTACTTTGGGAACGCTCTGAATCTGCACAATGCTTTTAAGTTAATGTTCAGTGATCTTTCTCTGTTTTCTACACTTGGTCAAGAAAGCAGTGATCTAAAGTTAAGTTACATAAATACCTACAGTAAAGAACCAGTGCATTCATTCATGAGTGTGTTATCACTTACTGCAGGAGGGCTGCAGTTCTTTTCACTGTGAGTGAAGAGCTCATATAGCACGACTCCAAAGCTCCACACATCTGACGCCACAGAAAACTTGCTCTCAGTCAGTGACTCGGGGGCGTACCTGCAAATCAGCACACTGTGTGACTTTATGTCTCTGCTGCATATCTCAGAAGAAGGCAGTGAGCTTACAAGACCGTCAGCACTACGTCAGGCATGGCAGTTTTGATTTCAAAACAATATCACACCAAAAACAGATGACAAGTGAAAAATTTACTTATGTGTTTAATGTATTAAGAAGTTAAACAGCTAAATACTGGCACAAACAAATACAAAAATGTGCCGTTTCCTAATTGAAACACTTATTCAGCATCAGCACTCTCTACAGCGTCATGAGGAGGGTTAGGACCAACGTTACAGAGAAATACAGCACAGAAAAAAGACTGGAGTCTGACCAGAATATGGGACTCTCTCCTGGTTCTTTGACCATGTAGTACTCTTTGTCCTGAGGCAGAACCTTGGTGAGTCCAAAATCTCCAATCTTTACTCTCAGCTCACTCTCTACAAGGATGTTTCGTGTTGCCAGGTCTCTGTGAATATACCGCTTACTTGATAAATACTCCATACCCTGTAAACACACAGGACAAAAAGTAAACTAAACTTTTGCATCACTAGCTCCAGTGGTCAACAGCTCCAGTGACAAAAATGGACAAACGGAAGTACCTTGGAGATCTGAGAACTGTAGTGCACAAGCTTCTTGTTGTCAATCCTCTCCTTGTTTTTCATGAGATAATCTCGCAGACTCCCAAAGGGCAGATATTCCATGACGAGACAAAGATTTCGTCGCCCTGAGAAAAAGCAAAAAAGAAACCGTGTTGCCCACAAGACCTAGCACCACAAAAACCTACGAACTTAGAGTGTATGTCCTAATTTAACAACGATAAGCCTGACACTGATAAACTGTAATAACAAAAGCAATTGTTTGATATAGAGATGGGTGACATGACCAAAGACTTCATGGATGTCCATCAACATCTAAAGAATACTGCCAATACAACAACTAATATAATGCAATAAGGATTTGATGGGGACCTGTGTTGAATGTACTAACTACCATACTCAGTGTTATTATACAGATTCTACTTACAATATGTGATAGACTACAATCAAGTTCACATTCCTTACTGTTTAATACAGCTGGTTTATATCAAGTATAGCTACAGTAAATGCACTGATGTTATAACAGGCTGATGAAAACTGGGTGACTGAAGTCTTTTGCTCATCGGTGAAAATGGTGAAAAAAAAAAAAACATACAGTGTAAAAACAGGCTTCTCTAGTTTAAGTGAAAAACAGTTGTTGTTTTTTTTATTGTCCTCAACATTTTCAGTTCTGCAACATTATGAGAATGAAGATATTAATTTAAAGTCAACCGTACCTGCACTGTAGCAAACACCTTTGTATTTGACAATGTTCTCATGCTGCAGAGATTTCAGGATCTCGATCTCTCGCTCAAAGTCTCGTATGTGCTCTGCAGTGCTGTGCTGGAGTTTCTTCACAGCAACAACCTCTCCAGTGTTGTCTTGAAGCGGGTCATATCTACACATCTCCACACTGCCAAAGTTTCCCTGAAACAGAAGACCAGCTTAAGTGAGCCGTCATGTCTTTTACTCATAATATGACTCATATTTTACTGTTTCTTAATTTCACAATGCATGCACAATAAGGTGCAGACCGATGTGAGGCTCAGTTTAAGTCCATCAAAATTCAAATGCATTGCACAACTCTGCTTTAGGACACCAGCCAAAAATCTCTGGTGAATAAAAGTATGATGTAGTGGAGAAAAGGCGTTACTATATCTGGAATTTGATAAAATAGCAAAAAATGGGCAAGTTAGATAACTAGCTAAACAATAATGTGACCTGAGGCACAGATAAAGGAATGTTGGCACCAAGCAGAAAAAGGCTTCACTCAAGGCAAAAATTTGTTTTCTTAAAATGGTTTCTGCTCAACAACTTAATTAAGAATAACTTAATTGGTTCTTAATTGATTCTTGCACAATCGCAGAGCCCCACTGTAAAACACCAATACAAATAAAAGTTATTTTACAAGGAAAAGGAGTCACTGGCAATGCTAATTTTAGCAACAAAATCTATGAGGAAAACTTTTTAACATGTTTCATGACAAAAAATAAGGCTAAAATAAAAAGTAACATTATAATACCTGTAAGAATTTTAAGTGCCTTCAACAAAAATATCAACAGCTACAGCCTCAAAATGCTCAAGAGGATATATTAAAATGCAGGACTAAGTGAGTCTAAAAAGTCTTCAGTATTTGCTGCCTAAAGCTAAATCAAAACAGAGGAGGGTTTGCCCTTCAACAGCTGACATATGTCCTCATACCTTGCCCAGCTGCTGTAAGAATATGAGGTGTCTTTCTTCAAATTGAGTTGGGTCCTGATTATCAAAGCCCCCAGTCGACCATGCAGAGCCCACTGTTCTATTTGGCAGGATGTCACTGTCCATGATCAACTCGTAGTCTAGGTACAAAAAAAAGACATGCAGGAGAAAAGGCACAATCAAAGTCACTTCCCTGTTTGTTGTTTTTCAGACAGAATGAAGTTGACCCTCATGTTTTCTTGTGTTTGTGCTAAGCCAGGGATAATCATGTGCTAGAGCAATCGCTGCACGCCTCACCAAGTGCACCATTCATATTCTCCCTTATAACTGACATGTTTACACACACTGTTTGTGTGAAGACATTTGAGATTCAACGCTGGTGTGACCTAGATTCGCTGTTGGGACACCATTAGGAGCTGGTGAGAGGCTTACACCAACCTGGGGTGAAAAGGCTGTGGAGGTCACGGATGACGGCACGAAACGTGGGCCTGAATGTTGGCTCATAGTCCATGCAGCTGGTAATCAGGTTAGCCAGTTCAGTCCATTTTGGTGCAGGAAGCTGGTGGTGGTCCTCATAGAACAGGGTTTTCTATGAGGAAAAACTGATGGTTAATGTAGTATACAGATGCTGGATAATAGAAGGACAGTGCTTAAATACAATGTCTGTACAAGAAGACTCTGTTCATAATATAAATCATCTGAATACACAAATTATGTTGTTGTAATTTTTGTTCAAGTCCAAAAAGATTATTCTGCACACATCTGGAAGAGGAGTCTTTAATCACAAACAGTGAGCTCCTGTTTGTCACACTGGTACCAACACAATGATCTGCAACTTTTTAAACTTTCGGTGGGGGAGACTGTGTTTTTGGATTTTGCATCTAGACAAAAAAGAAACACTTTGGATTTTATTCTTGGTGAAAATGGATGAGGAAGATACAGCATGCAAGCTGAGGCATGACAACAACCTGCTGTTCATACCAAACAAGACACCTTGAGCTGTTGCAACAACTAATAAAATTACAAACACTACAGAATAAACACTACACTGCCATAAAGACATCAATATTATACAGAATACTAATTCCATCAAAATAATATAACCTCCTATAGCATACATCTTGTCCCCCTTTTTAATACTGATGTGCTGCACGGGCAAAAACTTCAATTTAAAACTTTGTCATTAATTAACAGGAGCAGACCAAGTAAATATTTACTTCATTTAATGACTGGATGGAAGAAAATTACTCGTCAAAAAGTCATAAATTAATGTTCATATGTGGTGACTTTAATATATATTTGTTGAATCCTAACAAGCACACAGGAACTGAGGAGTTTATTAACACATTATACAGATGTAGTTTACACCCAAAAATTACAAAACCAAGTAGATTAACAACCCAGCATGCAATACTAATAGATAATATATTTACTAATGATATTGATAGCAAAATGTCTAGTGGATTACTTATAAATGATATCAGTGATCATTTACCAGTATTATTGGTTTATGACTGCCATATTAGAAATGAAAGGCCAAAAACAAATGTTTTTTATAGGAGGGTGATGAACAAATATGCTGTAAGGAGGCTAAAAGAGGACTTTTTGGGGCAAGACTGGGATGCAGTTTACAAAGAGGAACACTTAGACAAAGCATATGAGCAATTTTTAAATATATTCATGGAAGTATATGACAGAAACTGTCCTCGTAAGCAGTATAAAAACAAGAGGAATTACAGTGGGAAACCGTCGATGAGTAAGGGATTACAGAATGCATGTAAAAAGAAGAATGTCTTATATAAAGAATTTATAAAGGACAGATCCAAGAAGGCGGAAGAAAAATATAAGTTATATAAGAACAAATTAACTGCGTTATTGAGGATATGTAAGAAACAATATTACTCTAAAGTATTAGAGGATAATAAAAAATAATATGGAAGGTACTTGGAAGATATTAAATAAATTGATTAGAAACAGTACCAGCAGGAGTAA